TTTGCTTTAGGAAATTCACCTAAACAGACTGGGTTTATTTAGAAAGTCTGCCCCCCCTGTCAAAATTAAATCAGAAACCAGGAGAGTCTGAGGTGGGGGTGTCAAAAGGATGGAGTTTCAGGCATTCCCAGAAATTTATATAAAGAGATCAGTGAAGTCACCCATATTGCTAGTGCCTGGAAGTAGAAGTTCATTTTGTCATTATTACCTTCAAGGCGGAATGGAAGGAAACAAAGTTCAGAATTTAGAAGAAAGCCAAATTTCTCATCATGACATTGGGTCTATGCAATTTGTTACAGAAGAAATGACCACATTTACAGTCTTAGATATTTGAAAGTAGAGCAAAAACTTTTAGTAAACCAGGATAAATCTCTCTAGTGTGCTAAGTCATATTTATACCATTATTTTTTTCCCAATGTTCAAAATAAACTTTCTTAAGGCGGCTTTATAGAAGTTAAATAACCATTTAAAAACAAATACCTAAATTAAAAAAAAACACAGAAATATTAGAAAAGTGAAAATTCAATTTTACAGGAAATGAAATGAATAAAAGCCTTTGACAAAATATTAGGCACAAGGCAAATTTTTAAATTCTCTCATCACTATTGGGAAGACTGGGACTTATTTGTCTCTTTAATTCACCTAGGATGGCAGGGATATCTAGTGGACAACCTTGTGAAATTACAGGTAGTCCTCGACTTACAACAGTTCATTTAGTGACCATTCAAAGTTACAATAGCACTGAAAAAAAGTGACTTGCAACAATTTTTCACAGTTACAACCTTTGAAGCATCCCCATGCTCATGGGATCAAACTTCAGATGTTTGGCAACTGGTTCATACTTATGACTGTTGCTGTGTCCCAAGGTTATGTGATCACTTTTTGCAACCTTCTGACAAGCGAAGTCAATGGGAAAGCTAGATTCACTGAACAACTAGGTTACTAACTTTTCAACTGGAGTGTTCACTTAACAACTGAGGAAGGAAATGTAATAAAATAAGGCAAAACTCATTTAAATGTGTCACTTAACTACAAATATTTTGGGCTCAATGGTGGTCATAAGTTGAGGACTACCTGTATTTATGCACAGGTAAAATACCATGATAAGTTATGGGGCAGTGGTTAGAATGCAGAATAGCAGGCTAACTCACTACTCACTCCAGGAGTTTGATTCTGACCAGCGCAAGATTGATTCAGTCTTCCACATCAGTAAAATGAGGAGCCAGATTGTTGGGGGCAATAGATGACATGCTCAGAGACCACTGTAAAGCATTGTACAGCTGTATATTATGATAAGTGCTATTGCTATCCCTAACAGAACCTCTTGATCAGGAAAGCCACCTCTTGCTGGGAAAGAAGTAGTGAGGAGCACAGTTGGCTATCTCTTGCTGTATTTGTGTACTTTTAGAGATTTCTGAGAATCATCTGGCTGTCCATAGTTTAAAATGTGAGTGATGTTGATCTAGAGCAGGAGTATCCAACCTTGGCAACTTTAACACTTATGGACTTCAACTCCCAGAATTTCCCAGCCAGCATAGCTAACTAAGGAATTCAGGAAGTTGAAATCCACAAATCTTAAAGTTGCCAAAATTGGACACCCCTATCTGGAGGGATATTCAGATGGATCCTTTCTTGCATTCTATGAAAATTGCTGAGCAATAGAACATCCAGCTTAAAGCTGAAATAGTAACAGAATATTTAGCCACATTCTAAAATACCCTTTTATTTTACCCCTGAAGAAAGAATAGATTTGGTATTCTAGCAGATTCAGTGAGATTCCTTTGCCTGGGACTTTCAATTCATTTCAAACTGATTTCAAGATTAGAAGCTGTAATACAAATTTAAATAATACACAGGAATCTAGAAGTTTTGAAGGGCTACAGCTTCCTATTATGAAGCAGAATGAAACCAGAACTAACTATCTGGAATAAAAACTGGAGTTCATGACAACTTCAAAGAAAACCGTAACCCCACTTCAGACAATGAAGTGGATTGACTACAGATTCATGAAACTGAAAGCCACAGTGTTGCCTTACTCCACACATCCTCTCAAAAATCTATTTCAAAGATCTCAGGGAAAAAACAAAAAATCTAAGAGTGGGACAGGAAGCATAATTAGCTAAATCTCTCAGCTTCAATTTTCTTCACATTTTTAACAACTATTTAGTCCTAACTTGCATTTTACAGATCCACATTACCATTTCCTCCAAGATTTGCAGAATTAAGTCAACTGGGAGCAGTAACATTGCTTTTTTTTATTTTCCATCTGTCTTTCCTGCTGTGAATAGGATATCTCAGTCAAGGAAGTCTTGCTTTGCTTTGGCGTTCTCACAAGCACAAATGTTCATAGGTAAACATGGTTCATATTATTTAAATGAATTATTCCATAATTGATGGGGTATATTTGTGTGCGAAGAGCACATAATTAACAAAGTTATAATTGCAGTTGCAAGAGAGGTAGATGTTGAAAGGAACATGGCCATCAAGTCACTCAAGAAAGAAAAGGGGAGAAACAGGATAGGGAAGACAAGTTGCAAGAAATACTTTAAAAAACTTCTCATCCTCCTTTTCTTAATTTCATGGACCAAAATAAAAAAAAATACGTGCTGTTGTTTTTTTACTGAAAATCCACACCTTCTTCTCCAAAGAGCAGTTCTCCAGGAAGTACCCATGTACAGTGATTACTGAAGAGCACCATCCAATTTGTTTTCTCCAAGAGAAGAGGCACATAAAATCAGTTCTCAGAGGAGTCCTAAAGAAATGGTTACCACTTGGGATGAAATAGGATGCAGTCCAGAGGAGAGAAGAAGAAAAAGTCACATCAAGTTCTCCTCTAGAGTAGGCCCTTTTATTTGGGAGAAATCTAGAGAAGCCTAAGTCCATGTGGACAGAACTGACTGATTTTCTATTGGATATGCTTTTTCTGAAAATTTGGAACAGGTAAGAAAACGATTCTGATGACCTAGAATAGAAGCGAATGGAGCATTAGTTTAAGTGAGGATTTGGAACAAAAACCAGAACCCTGATTACTTCCAGGCATACGTTTAACAGTGTCAAAGAAGAAAGTGAGAAAAGGAAATGAAAAGGAGGAGGGTTTTCCCCCCCAGTGTATGACATTCTGGACAATGCCAGAGGCGGGAGACTTTGCAAGTCAATTTGAATCTCAAAGACTATCCTTGTTTTAAAAACATATAAAACTCGGTTTGAAGGAAGACAAAAAAGCGGGAAAAGGTTTTGGCTGTCAAGCTCCATTGATTGACATATCTGTACTTTTGACAAGAGTGATTTCCCCCCAACAACAAATAAGCACCTAGAATTTAAAAAATGCTACCGGTAACAGAAACTTTAGCCTCCTGTTACTCTGCTCGCTGTTTATGAAGAATGAGGAGAGTTGCTGCTGCCTAGCCATCTCTGCCCATTCTGACATCTGCCTTGATTTTTTATCCATCATTTCTGGGCACAATGATTTCCAAATCTGCTAAAACTGAAAGCACTCAAAGTTCAATTAATTTCATACATTGGTCCTCAAGCAGTTATGAAATTGACCAATGAACTCCTCTTCAAATTAGTATAATGCGCATTCAATAGGGAAACCAGAGCTACTGTAAATGGTCCTTGGTTTGCCTTTGGAAAAAAATAGAGAAATGACTTTACTCAAACTTTTTATTTTTTTACCAATTCTGATTTCTAATGAAAGAAGGTCAAGTTCTGGTCCAGAACCCAGAGTTGCAGGTGTTCCTGTGCCTTATTAAATCCTTACAAAAAACAAGCAACAAGGTTGCGAAGCACCACATTTTCATCTCACTTTTAAGATTCACAATGATTTGGGAGAATATTAAATTTCAAGAGTTTCTGAAAGTAAATTAGCTCCCTGCTTTGCCTACCTTCACCAGTTCAGTATGCAGACAGAAGGAAACAGCTGGATGAGTATTGCACATTTTATTTTGCTGTAAAATTTTCAGATTTACATCACTGCAGCACTTCCCTGTCTGAACTCACAGACTTCCAATAGGTAGGTCCTAATTCACATACAACTAACTGACCTAACACAGACACACAATTTGAAGAGTTTAGAAGTGACAGCATATTTTGTCCAATTACTCAGACTACGGGTTTTTTTGGCCGGCTTTCTCACCATAGAATCAATACTTCCAGTTTAGAAGAAACATTTCACACCTTGTCCCCAAACACCCTGACTGTCATAACATCATCCTTACTATGCGTGTCTAAAAATAAAGATTCCCTGAAGCAGAGCTTGGACTCTTTCTTGATGACTGTATGGCCAGGTTTTTGCAATTCGCTCAGGAGAAAATTCAGCAGGATTTACTTGCCAGGAGGCTGCATAAGATTTCCAGCTTCATTTATAGAGATGTCATTAGGCATTACAATTGGGACTTTAAATGGGAAATAAATTCCATGGGAATCTATACATGCTTTAAAGTTCTAATTGCTTGGAATTGTGGCCTTAAGATGATGAGGCTGGCACTAGAGTATTCATTCTTCCGCAAACTCTTTGAGAACATTTTCTCTGGCATCTGACCTCTAACAGAAACATCGGTAGCCAAAACAACCTTCTTAAGTTCTAAATCTTGTTCCGGATTTATCCCTGATTTCAACTGCTTGAAACACGATCTTACCTTATCTTCCAAGCCAGTTCAGCTCACTTTATAGCAACTTCCCAATTAGGTTGCAACATCTCATCCCACACTAAACAAGAAATCCCACGTGGCCAGCCGGAAAGTCTTAACAATTTTGATAGATGAACACCCTGTTGCCTCTTCCACCAGCCCATCAGGTGGAAGCGAACAGGATTGAAATATGACAAATAATCATTCTGTCTGCTGATAACAAAGCAGCCGTCGCCTTACTATTCCGCTTAAGGAAAAGCAATCCAGTCTGAGTTTGAATCCTAAACCCCGCGTCCGCCCATCTTTCACCGCCTGGGCCGCGCAAGTCCACCCAAATCTGAAGTCCCTAAGACCAGGGGATCCCCTGCTTACCTGGAGGATGTTGGGGTGCCGCAACCGTTGCAAAAGGACCATTTCCTTGACAATCTTATAGGAGGCCAGCCTGTAACAGTCTTCCAGAGACCCATAGAGCTTGACGCAATTGTCGATGTCGTGCCCCGCAAAGTCGACGGACTTCAAGGCCACCGCCAGGCTCTTGTTGAGCACCGCTTTGTAGACGGCTTTGGTGTAGCCGGAGCCCAGGTAATGGACCTCGGTCACGTTGCTAATGTCCTGGCATCCCAACCGAAGCGGCCCGAGAGAGAGTTCTAGCTTGGATTCGGGGACCCAGGGGGCCCCGGAGGCAACGAGACCTGGCGAACCGAGCTGGAGCCCCCGTGGGCTGCGGTCAGTGGGCGAGGAGGGGAGCCTCGGCGGCGCCAGATCCATGAGCCGCCTCTCCAGAGGTCGCACCGCCGGCCGAGACTTAGCCGCGGCTGCTCCCGCCGCTCCGGCTTCTCCGGGCGGCTGTCTCTGTTGGTACCGCAGCACCTCTTCGTAGCGCTCTCGGATCTGCCGGGCTAAATCCCAGCGCCGGTGACGGCCGCTGCTTCTCCTTGCCGCCTCCCACGACCTGTCCCGAGGCGAGCCCGCCAACGAGTGCGCGATGCCCGCATTTCGCTGCTGCTGCTGCTGGAGGGGATCAAAGGCCGGGATGAATAAGAGGTTGAGCAAAGTGCCCAGCAAGAAGGACAGACAGAAGCCAGCTGCCACGGCCAGCTTTTGCCGCTTCATTGCTCTGCGAAGCTCCACCAGCGAATCTTCCAGCCGGGGCTGCCTTTTGCCCTCGCGATCAGCTTCGCCGCGGTCTCGCTTGCACCATTCCAGATGACCAAAAGACAGACGGACGGACGGACAGATGGGGGGGAACCCCGACCAAACCCCCTTCTTCACTCAGCCCTGCTGCCTTGCCACTCCTCGGCGAGGCGAGCTGAAGCCCACATGACACTTGCCTCCTGCTTTGCCTTTATAAACCCGCCCTAAAAGTCTTATTATTAGGCACACCGCTATGAGGAGGGGGGAAAAGGAGTGTTTTTACATACCAAAAAGAAAAAAAAAATCCCAAGCGCTGCTACATTCATTGTGACGCCAACTGATTGACGGCTCGGCCTCGCCAGTGGAAGAGGGAAAACAGCAGAGAGGAGAGCTGGGAAATGAAGTCTTCTCGTCGCAGGTGGCGGCCGGAGAGCAACGGGACGGAGAACTACAATTCCCAGAAACGGCCCTGACACTCCGGGCTGGAGAGGCGGCAGGGAGGCTCGATAACGGTGTCGCCTCCCAAAGACAGTCGTGAAGGAAACGGGACGGTGGGGAAAGTATATCCCGCTTGCGTGGTCGAAGTCGTGTGGCGCCTCGAGAAGGCAGAACGTGGGAAACGAAGCCTTTGGCCGGGCAAAAAAAGATAAGGAGCCTTTCAAGGGCATCGCTCTCTAAGGTCCGAAGGGGATTTGACGTTTGCCCTCCACCCGTCTATCCCAGTCACGCTGTTTCTAAATTGATCCCGTGGGGAGGTGTGGGAAAGACGGTTGCATTTTGCGAGAAAGAGGGAATGAAGTGGCACTTTCCAGCCTCCCGATGGTCGTTTCAGGACCTTCCAAAAACTATGTTGATCCTCGTGTTTATCTCTAGTTATGAATTTGGTTTTGCTGTCCTGAATTTTCGCGAGTATTTATAGACCTGCATCACCCTGTTCACACCATCAGACAGTTCCGCTTTGACAGTCTTCGCGGCGTTACTTACAGACGTTCAGTTAGCCCGAGGAGGAAACGTTTGGCGCCCGCGTTTAATTACTCGATTTTTTAATAGCCCACCTTTCAAAAATCTGTAGCAACCCCAAAGAGAGAAGAAGCTAGGAGTGGCATGTTTGATTTCTTTTATTTATGAAACACTTTCCTTAAAAAAAAAAAAAAAGCAAATCGGATGTATATTTATTTAACTCATACTGCTCATCACGAACCTCAAGCACATGGGTTCGTACATGTGATATATATTTTCTCCCCTTAAGGCCAAATGACCGAATTGCCCTCCCACGAAAGTGATTCATTTCCACCCCACACACCCCAATGCCTTCGAAATGCATAGCGAAGGGATGCCAATCAATCCGTGACATCGGTCGCTCTACCGGGCTGACAAGCGGATCGATTTGCCCGGGAAAATCAACTGTGAATGTAATCCTCGAGACTAGGAATATTAGTAAAATGAGAGCAACCTCAAGCGGTAAACACGGGTAGGGGAGGCTCCTGAATGATTGTATTCACATCACAGGCTTAGCAAGAATCACTCATAGGCCAATTTGCATAATTTATGAAACTTGTTCAGTTATAACTTTGGTTTGAGCGGGGGAGGAGGGGGAATCCTAGACCATTTTATTAATCAAATGGTTTGAATAATCAAATGTGAGAACTCGGGAAGAAAATCTGTTGTTGCTCTGGATGTGGTTTTATTTTGGTTTGCCTCCCAGAGTTGATTGCAAGGGGGTGGGATATTGAATTTGCATAGTAAAATAAATGGATCCAGTCGTAACATAGGACCACGCCCCATGTCAATGCAAATAATTAAGTGTCATTATCGTCCATTCATGTATTAAGGCATAATAGAAGTAACTTCGCTCTGGGATCATTTGGTAAGGGCGGAGTATCCGAATTAGTAATATCATTAAATAGGGTTAGTTTCACGCTGTGGGAATCATAACAATTTTGGTTGAACTCTAGGGCAAGATCTGACCATCTCTTTTCAAATATGCTTTTCAGGCCATTCCGTTGTTTGGCTTAAAGGGGCCCTAAATTTCTTTCCCAAAGTCTTAACAACGTTAAGGTTTTAGACTTTACTCAAAGAATAAATATAAGAACCAATTGATATTTTAAAGGCACGTAATGAAGGCCTCCCTCCCTCTTTCTTCAAATAACTTCAGAAAAGTAAGCGTTCTTCTGACAAGATACTTAAATCAATGGGCTTCTTCTATTTTTCCATCAGAGCATAACCGAAGGGGGCAGGGCCGGATAAAAATCAGATTCTAAATGCACATGCAAGCCCCATTGAAACGGGTTGATTAATCACAGGGACTCGCCGATTTCTCGGCCAAAGGTGCTTAAAGCACGCACGTACAAACATTGCTCAAGGTGGATTGCGAAGTTTGTGGGGCGGAGAAAAATAAAGCTTTATTTTGAGCGCCTTTATCTCCTGGGAAGGTTTATGTGAGAAATTTACAGCTCAGTTTTCCACCTATAATCTGACGTCGCCCGAGGCCAAAGGGTTTTAACTCCCATGGAAGGGGGGGGGGGTAGGGGGGAGATGTGTATAGAGGAGGGATGTGCCGAAATCATTGGACGGCGTGGTAAATTTAACGGGTCGACGAGGGCTTCAAGGAACCTCTCTGGTGGCTTGCCTCATCCCAAGATTCTGTGGGTGTGCGAGTCTCCAACACTCACCTTTCCTGGCCTGCTGGCTGGGAACGATGAGCCTTGTAATCCCACACACCTCATGGGCATCTTCAGAGCAATTTCACCATCGGGCTAAGAGTTGGCAGCGGGTCTACAAACAGTGGAGAGTTTTCTGGGGTTTTTTAATGTAAAAAGAGAGACAAAGAAAAATTAGGGGCGCTCCCTCTCTGTTCCCTGACCTCCTCTCCCGGTTCACAGGCCTGGGCGCGATGCGGATTTAAAGAGAGAGAAAAATCCATAGAACTCCGCTTCTCCCCCTGAGTTTGCCCTACCCCTCATTAAAGTCCTCAGCCGGGAGCTCTCTGTTGTGGCTACCGCGGGAGGGATGAAAGGGCCCCGCCGAGATTTGGTGGGGGTTAAAGGCTCTGCGCCCCTCCTGCATCTCCCGGGCTCGGCGTGAGGTCGCCGCAGCTCTGCTGGAGACTGGCCGAAGCCGAGTGCTAATGGTGTGCTTATCTATCCCGGGCCAACGCTGTTAGCAACTAATTAACAAATGAAATTAGTCCCAGAAAGGACACAAAAGGGTGTGTGTGTGAGAGGGGGGAGGGAGCGGGAGGAGAGAGAGAGAGATCCCCAGTTGAAATAGCTTTGGATGGATAAAGTTTTAGCTGGAGAGTGTCATTCTGGTCGCCGGCACAAAGCAAGCAAGAACGCGGCAATTAAAGCGCTGTTTGGATTGTCTGCCAGAGAGAAGAGTTAAAAGGGCGGACAAGCAAGAACAAGAATCGGTGCCCGCCTGATATCTTGATAAAGGTGGCTCTGGATCCGGCGATTTTCTTTGTCAGGTCCCTCTCGGGCCGGTACTAACTGTAAAAGCGCAAGCTGTCCCTAACATCCATAACGGGGAAACGTGTCCCTTTTGCAAAGGAAATGATAGCTCCCGAGAAAAGACAACAAGCGGGCTGTTTTATTTCGTTGTGATATTTTGAACCCGATCTGCTTTAATGTGTCCAATGATGTTTACTATCCCAGTAGTATTTTTGTAACAGCTCTTAACTAAATGTGGCTGAAAAATAATGAAATGCGTGTTTCCTCTCCACCGTGCTCTTCATTCTTTCTTTCATCCTCCAACAAGACAAAAAAGTAAATAAAAGCTGCTTGAAATACCTACGTGTTCTAAAAAGTAACCTTTTTGTATGTTAGTTTATCAATAGGATTATGGGAAACATAATCACCGGAGTTAGTGTTTCTCAATTTCAGCAACTTTTAAGTTTTGTGACTTCAATTCCCCAGCCTAACCCTTGCACCCTCTGTAGCCTTCTGAAAAAGTACTACACTTGCTTCTATAGGTAATAATGGAATAAGAAGGAACTCTAAACCAGCCAAGAATTTGTTTTTCTTTAACAAGTCATAAAAATCTACACTGGGAAAAAAACTAGAAGAAACAGGTGCATAAATGGCTAAGCCAAAGGATTGGAAAAGAAATAATTCTCAAGAGTAACCAAGAAAGATTGTTGAATGTTTCTTTGTATAAATACAAATATAAATACAAATAAGAAAGTTTAAATGGATGAATAATTTAAAGCAGAATGATTTAAAACATTTAATCTACTTCTACCTGGGATTTTAGTTTGCAACTAACCCTGTTAATGGTGAAATACGAGGGGGAACAACAATACATAATTTAAACTAGTGTGCCTATCTCCTTTTTTTGTATACTTCTAATTCTTAACGGGTTCTGTTCAGACAACATATTGCCTTGTAAAAATTCTATGTACAAAGAGCGATGAGTAGTCCATTGCTTCTATAAATGGTACTGTGATGCCAATGAAAAGCTATATGATTGTTCATGGATACAGTGCAAGTAGGAGATTTACATGTAAATTATCTGCTCCCTGGTGCAGACAACTGTGCATGGTGGCTGACCAGCTCTCAAGGGAAACAGAATGCAGTTCAGAAAAAGGAGGGGGAAGTCACTTTACCTTGCAAGTTGAATTCTCTACACAAAAAATATGTTTGAGTAGAACATAGAATCTTGTTCTAAAACCTAGAAGCAAATTTTATTTGTTTTCTTGCTTACAAATACATAAAAGAAACTAATTGGATACTAAAAGAACAGCTTTTCTAAATAAAATATAATGCATATTGTATTATAAGTACTACATAATATTATTTAATATTTATTTCTTGGCCTGGTTCTTATGCATAAAGAGTGATTGCACATAATTATCTTCCTCTGTTTATTCTTAACTTCAGTTCTGCAGGGTAAAGAGAGATAATGATTGATCAGAAATCATGGCTGAAACTTGGGAGATTTGAGCCTGGGCCTCTCCAGTTGTAGTCCAACCATTCTACTCCCAAGTTATTTATTTAATTAATCAACCCATGTGGAATGCTGAAACGATCCATAAACTTATCTCAGAAGGAAGAACTCAGAAAATTCATCTCATTTCTGATAGGATCCATATTTAACCCAAAACTCTAAAGTTACAATGGAAT